TTTATAAACCGAATTGCAAACTTTTTTGCTTATAAAAGTATTTGAATGAAATTTGATACATAGGCACTTGGAATAAAGGAAAATCAAACGCCAATTTCAAAATTTGGTTTTGCGCATGCGCAGTGCCAACTTTTTTATTTATGGAAGAATTTAAACGAAATTTGATACATAGGCACTTGGGATAAAGGAAAATCAAACGCCAATTTCAAAATTTGGTTTTGCGCATGCGCAGTGCCAACTGTTTTATTTATGGAAGAATTTAAACGAAATTTGATACATAGGCGCTTGGAATAAAGGAAAATCAAATGCCAGTTTCAAAATTTGTTTTTGCGCATGCACAGTGCCAACTTTTTTATTTATGGAAGCATTGAAATGAAATTTGATACATAGGTGCTTGGAATAAAGGAAAATCTAGCGCCAGTTTAAAAATTTTATTTTGCCCATGCGCAGTGCCAACTTTTTTTATCTATGGAAGCATTTAAGTGAAATTTAATACTTTGGCGCTTGGAACAAAGGAAAATCTAACATTAGTTTCAAAATTTAGGTTTGCGCATGCGCAGTTCCAACTTTCTTATTTAGTGCAGAATGGAATCAAAGAAAACCTTTTTTAAACACGTTTTTTATTAGGTCCTATTGCGTGTTTAAAAAAGATTTTCTTTGATTCCATTCTGCATCACACAACACGTTTAAAATAAAGAACGATGGAACAATACATCAACCGAATTTCTTATTTAGAAAAGCATCTTACAAATGGGAAATGAATGCAAATGGAAATGCGCTTTATGTAAATCGTTTACGATTACTTTTTAACTTGTTATCAGTGCATAGAGAATGAATAGGGCTTTCTTTTACTGCACCTACTTAAAAAAATGTGAAGTTGCGTACAAAAGATCCGAATTTAAGAAACTTCAAAACTTCGAAAGTGGCATATTTTGATATTACATGTTCCTATAGCTATATCTTTAACAGTTTCTGATTTATTCCTATTTCATTGAGTTGATGCCATTTTTTTTCGCATTTTCTTTTTAGTAGTTGGCCATGATTATATAACAATCGAATTTTAAACAAATTTAATCAAGGAAAGGATTCTTTAATATCATTGATTCTAGTCTAAATAATTCATTAATAAATAAGTCATTTATTAAGGATATAGGACGGAAAGTTTTCGAGAAATCTAGACAGAGTCATTCAACTGAATTTTATATGGGAATAAGTCAGAAAGACAGAAACTGTTAGATAGCTATAGGAACATGTATTGTCAAAATATGCCCATTTCGATTCCTTATCTCATGCAATAGTAAGAAAATGGTCATTCCATTAAAAAAAACGCAGTTTTTAGTCTTTGAAGTTTTGAAAATATTTACATCGATTCGGCCTTCAAAGTAACTCCTAAGTGCAAATTTTCAAAAACCTACCTATTTTACTTTCCCAGAAACGATTTCTCGATAGTTGTCGAACGCTTCCGAGCTGTTCTAGAATCTTCTTGAACAAATAATTTCTCGGAAAGATTACGTCACATCCGCGTTCGTTTTTTATGGCCGATGACTATCCTTCCTGGCGCCTCGATGTCCATCGAGATTTCTCGAGTGTCGCTGAAATATGACGTACCTGATTATTTAACGCAAATTTCATGCAACCGTAGTGTCTCTGAATTAATTACAAAAGGATATTTAATGTAAATCAGGGGTACTCAAACGGTCGCGCGACTATACACCCTACCTATATCTTGACCACAATCCTGCATCACACGTACTTGCATCCTCTCAGAGTCGATCGATCGCAGTCTAACAATATGGAGGTAGATCGCCAGCAGTTCAAGTCTGAGCACCCCTGATGTAAATCAATGAGGAAAAAGAACTCGCAGTTGCTGGACTGATATCGTTCAATACTAAATTATCTCTCTTGTACTTGTTTGCAGAATTGAATTGAATGACTGTTAAAACTTGAAAGCCCCAAATGGATAAAAATTAAATTAAACAGTGTTAGGTTTCTTGTTCCATACATTTACTTTATGTTTGATTAAACGAGCGCAGACAATGGTTCTGAGATTTTTTAACCTTTACTCACTACTGACATCACCTCCACACCTACCCGACGGCTTGAACCGGACGCCACTACATCACTGATTCTCCATCTTTTGGGCCAGATTGTAATGACTTTGTATCGACTGAGCTCTTAACTACGAACGCACGGATAAGTAGCAGTACTCGGACCGATTGGACACGAAAACGAGATTTAGTTTCGGGGGATGAAATGGCCTGCGGTTTACAGATACAAAATTTAAAACTAAATTCTGACCTCACTGACAGCTGTTGTAAACTTTTTAACAACTACCCTAAACCGGTACAAACTTTCTTGGAAATAATGCAACGAAACAAAAAGTAAAATAGAAAAAAGGCAAGTAAAAGGTCCTTTCGGCTAAATCTAATATAATTTACGTTGCATATCTGTGAATTTCCAAATACATGCAAGTAATTGACATTGGTCAAACGCAGTAATAATAATTGATGGTGGTCGGAAAGATAATTTTGCATTTTATGTAAACAAAGTAATAAAAATTGGGGATGCATTTATTTCGAGCCAATTAGACTACACTAAAGTTTCGTGAGTTATAAGGCTACGTTCAATTCAATTAATGAATGTTAAATGAAAAGAAACTGTGAGACTCGAACTTCATTAATAGTGCACAATATCCATACCTTTACCCTAACTTTATTCATACTACTAATATCGACGATTTAAAAATTTACAAAGAGTTCAGATTTTAAGTTAACGATTCTTTGTGATAGGAATTAACGTATTTTCAATGACAAGAGAAAGAGCGAAGAACGACAGAATAGAAACGTATTATAATTTCAAATATTTGCGCTAAATAGAAACGAAGTTAGCATCTTCTTATAGTTTGCTTGTTTGCCTTCTAAACAGTGCTCCTAACTAGGTACATAGCAAAACTTTGATGTTTATTTCTTCGCCTACAATTTCATATTATGGATTCTGGTTAAAATAAGAACGTAATTTTATTGCAAAACCTGAGCGAGCTTGCTCTATTTAGACAATTTTGTTTATTTCATATAAATATAAAAAGATAAACGTTTCGTAAAAAAATTTAAACACACAATTTGCGTCAATTAGCTTTGTAATGTAAGGTACTGTTATGTTTGTACGTAAACAGTAATTTAGTAATTTCAGTGAAAAAGAAAAAATGGCTTATTGGTGGAATTCAAAACCAAAAATGGTTACGATATTAACCCGAACAATGTCAAATCAATCGACATAAGTTCCAATTCGTTTAGTTCAAATTACACACAAATCTATAGGGTACACCCAGAACCTCTACGTATCATGGGCGCACAAAAAAATTAAACAAGCTAAAAACGTGGTCACTCGTGACCGACGAAAGCGCATTTTCCTCGCATAGAATCAGTAATAACTCGGGAAGGAAGTGACCAAGCCAAATCAACTTTTGTCGTTCTGGTCTCTACGCTGTACTACACCGTATAACAAAGAAACCACAACGAAAAAGCTTAAACTGGAAGAGTAGTAGTGGTACAAACAGACAGACGGACAATGTGCGAACAATACCGTTCATTTTCCCTTTGGAAAATGAACTAAAAAGTTGATATACGACTTTTGGAGACATGGTTCTCAAACCAAACATTTGGTACCCTGACACAACTATACTCCTTGGAATTTTTTTAAGCTAAAAATCTCTGTGTTATAGTACACGAATGGCAAAACATGAAACAATAGTTTGTCTTTTATGTACATCAAAATCGTTATGGATTTCATTAGGAATGCGCGTAAATGCATTAGTTCCGACACCCAAGAAGTTAATTTGATGCATTTTTGTTGACGAAGAGTGTTATAATGTAAGCACCGATTTCATTCGGAAAACGTAAAAACGCTGTATGTTGATATCCAAGAAGTGAATTAATGCATTTTTAATGAGTATTAAGAATGAGTGTAATATAATCGTTATTTTTAGCGCATTTCCACAAAAATAAAAAGAAATGCGTTATTGTGGCCACTTTGTCCGTCCGTCTGTCCGTCCGTCCGTCCGGGCATTCGTTGGGACGCTACTAGTTCTTTATCTTAAGAGCTGTTCTGTTTTTTTCGCTATTTGGTTCGTTATGGTGTCGAGGCTTGCACCAAGGAAGGATTTTTTCTGCGTTTATTGCTAAAAAAGTTATTGTAAAAAGAAACCATTTTCTACATGTTCCATAATTTTACGCTTTTGCTGTTTATTAACTAGAGATCGTTTATAATTTTGTATTGCTGTCTGTCGTCTGTCTGTCGGTCTGTCCGTCTGTTCCTTTGTTTGTCTGTCCATCTATCTGTCCGTGTGAACGATAACTTTGTTTAGAAATGTCCGATCGCTTTGACATCTCCGTTTTATGAACTGAATTGCATGAAATTCCATATGGGCATAGCTTCAGTCACATAAGAAGCAATGCCCAAAGTTGAGTTAAATCGATTCAAAATGCACAGTGCCCTTTTCGCATCTCGACCATTTATAAACCGAATTGCAAACTTTTTTATTTTTAAAAGTATTTAAAATGAAATTTGATACATAGGAATAAATGAAATTCTAACTCCAGTTTCAAAATTTGGTTTGGCGCATGCGCAGTGCCAACTTTCTTATTTATGAAAGCATTGAAATGAAATTCTTCTTATAAACTGAAATTGAAGTAGCACGTTAAAAATGCGCCTATGCAACGCTATCTTTCATATTTGTGGCCGGATTTTTACGATTTTAACAGAAGTTGAATCTTACAAATGGAAAATGAATGCAAGTGGAAATGGGCTTTTTGTAAATTGTTTACGATTACTTTTTGAACTTGTTTTTTTAATATTCTTGTTTGAGAGGCACACAGTCTTTCGTAATGTGTGTCCGTGTGTCATAAAATTTAATTTGGAGGTACGATGGGGACTTATCAGAATGTACATAGGCTTCTACGTCTACTTGTAATATAAAAGGCGTTTGTATCTGTACCAAACATCAGTTAATGCTGAGTGTTTCGTATACATACTAAAAATGAAGACTTTGCTTGTAATCAACTTTTCGGTCTTACTTTTTTTCGGCATCTCACCTGCCGTACACGCTGCTGAAAGTAAGATTCAATAATATAACGGTAACATTGGGAAATTATACATGTTTCTTTGTTTTAGATCTGACAGATTTGAAACCCCTTCTAGACACCCTCGTGAAAAATCTACTGGCATGTACGTCTGACGTTAAAATAACAAATATAACGGCGATCATAGACAAAAATAGTAAATGCGCAGCCACAACGGGCGAAACCATTTTGCAAGAATATCTATCTTGCTTATTAGGTTTACTTATGGAAAGTCTTACAAACTTATTGAAAAATTTGACTGGGATACAGAAATTGCTTTTCGATATTCTTAAACCAGTTCTAGGACTAGTATCTGCCCTTTTATTTATACTTGGAAAAACATTAGCTCCAGTCGTCGGTGCTGTCACGAACTTACTAACTGGTTTACTGAAAAATGAGCCTATTAAAGCATGCATGCAACAAAATACCCCTTGTGACAGCCCCCTATTAAAACTACCACTTATCGGAGATCTATTGAAGAGCTTGCTTAAGTGCTAAACCAATTACGATGCTCCAAATGTGTACGAAATGTAGTATATTAAAAATTAGACTCTTCCGCAATTCAGAATAATTTTGCTTGTAAAATAAATATAGCATGATGATCTGTTCTATTAATTAGTGTTAAGCATGTACCTATCCTATTTGAATATAAAGAAAATTCAGGATGGTAGGAAAAATTCTTCGTCCTCTGAGTTGCGATATGTTCATTGTAGTTAGGAACACAAAACATAGTTCGGTCAGCGCCCTATCCTACCAACAGTGAAAGTGTATCGGAAAAAGGGTTACGACTTATAATTACAGGAACGTAAGTGAATTGAAGGTTTTCCATGCTGGTCGGTAGGCGGAAGGAGAAAAAACAAGTATAAATTGTGCACAACTCTTGTGCAAATAAAGCGCATTTTTTTTAAACGAAATAGCTTTTGTTTTGACATTACCAATGGATATATTTCTTGCAGACGTCTCAATCGCACTTTGTGAGTACCCTCTTCCGACAATCCGTTCTTGAGGTATACCTAAGGCATTATACCCGATCACGATAAGAGGTTGAGGAGGAGGGCTATGGTTGGTAGAAATTAATTCCTTTCGTTAAGACCTTTCATTAGAGTACCATGAAATACAAAACTAGTTCCCTCCTCCCCCTCCCCCTCTGCCCCGTACTTTGATAAGAAGACAGAAAAAAGGCAGTAGTTGGTAGAAAACGGTTCCTTTCGTTGAGACCTTTAATTAGAATAAAATGAGAGATATAATTAATTTTTAATCTCCCCCCCCCTCCCTTTTCAGGCCCCGTCGCTCATTGATCTCGAAAAACAGTCGCACGGGAAAGTTATAGTTTGTACAAACCAATTTATTTCGATGAGACCTTTCATTAGAATACCATGAAAGGTAGAACATGTGCCCCCCCCCCCTCGAACAATTTGAACGCCAAACCGTGGAAAACTCGTCTACGTTGCTCTATTGAGACCACGAGGGTACACAGCACATATCAAGACTCACGTTGGTCCAAAATAATGAATTTTGGTACCGTTCCGGATTGTCTAGCGGCACGCAGTTGATAATTGGCTGGCTATAGGTCCTTTAATTCGTCAATTTTGACCATATTAATCTTACGAGTCGAGTTCAGGTAGTATTAGAGGCTTTGCCTTTTGAATTTTCACATCGTTGAAAAACTTCTTTTCCCTGATTTGAATTTCACATCCATCGGGAATGAATCTTTAATGATTCAATTATGGTCGGATTCGCCTTTTGCTATTAATTCCTCTGGTGTTGGTGTGAAGATCAGGATCATATCCCGGACTACCTGTTCGGTGTTCTTGATGGTGGACCTCTATATGATTGGACAGTTTTGGAGCTGAACACCATCTGGTATTTTATTTAGGCAATCGTCCTGTGATAGAATTCTTCAACGCAGTCTATTCTATTCATAAGGGGAGCCCAAACAGGCAGCATTTAGGCACACCAAAGGCCCATTGTGCCTACCCCCTTTTCCTCTCAACTAGGTTCAGAGCCCGTTCCACTTAATAAAGGATAGGACCCTGTTTGGCCTAAGCTGCTTAACCCTCGCCCACGGATTGGGATAATTTATTGTCGCCAAGGAGCTGATATCTGTGTCTAAGCTGATCAAGGCATCACAGTGGCAGACCACATGCTTGGTAGTTTCATCTTCCTCGCCTCAGAACCTGCACGAGGTCCAATGTTGGGCAGATAGTTGACCATCCAATGTTCCGTAATTTTAGAAGGCGCTGTTAACAAATTATTTATTTCCTCGTGTGAAATCGAAGGGACTTCGGCGCATTTTTGTGTGGCAGATCAGTGTTTTAATAGCCAGTGTTGACTCCACCATTAATAAAAGATCTTGTCAAAAGCTACCACATTCCCTTTGACGGTACCCACTTCCGACGTCCCGTTCATCCGCAATTCGCGTTTGAAGTTTTTACTCCACCATCAGTTAGATCTTGTCAGAGGATACCACATTTCCTTTTTCGGTGCATACTTTTTTATTACACCCACATTTTGGTGGATTTGGCTAAACTAAAAACCTTCCACAAGGTAGTACTTAATTTTTGGGGCACTTCTCATTGCTCGAGCTTCTATTGGCGACACGAGAAAGAGAGACAGCGATTCGAGATTTACAAAACGTTAAACCGCGTGACAAAATTCGCAACGGAAGGTAAAAGGCGCCCGAAGTTGACTACTTCTCGCGCGCGCCTTGAGAAAGGTCGTTAATTTCGCCCCTAGAACAAAAAACAAAATTCCGCCACGCATGAGTTGTGCGCGTTTGCAACATCTTTCCGACGACACAAATTTGAAAAAAATCGGATCAAAACTGTAGTAGAAGATAGGAAAAAACTGAAAAACCTTCACGTTAGTAAACTACGCTCGAGGATGACGCCCAGATGTCGCCAACCCCACATCATGTAGCCCTGTTCCTAAGGTTGACAAATTACACGGCCTTGTAGATACACGTGCACCCGTTGCCTTTCTACAAGAGCTTTTCTACGCGCCCACATTTGCTGCCAGCCAGCCAGCCAAAGTGAGATTAAAAGTTACTTTTTACAAATAAATTTGCAAAAATGCGCTAAAAAGCCCTGAACTGTCTGAGTACGGTTGCTTGTTGCCACTCAGAACACCCCACCACTGCCTTTGGGAGCCAGTGAAGTAACATTTTTTAAAATGCGGATTGCTGAGGAGAGGAGGAGGGAGGAGGTAGAAATTAAATTTATCTTTCATGGTATTACAATTAAAGGTCTGAACAAAAAGAACTGTTTTCTACCTACTACCGCTCACTTTCCGTCTCCTTATCAAAAGAGAGGATTTTTGTGTGGGGGGGGGGGCTGGTGAAATTTCCCCATTAATCATGTAACAAGAAAGAAAACATCGATAAATATAGTCTGCTACTACCTTATAACGCAACAATTTGCTAAGATATTTTGGTTTTAAAAAATGCGCTTTATTTGTACCGGGTGACCCAATAAGACAGTTCCTCGGCCATATCTCGAGAACCGATCGTCATATGACTTAGGGGTAAAAAATTGGGTAAATCGGTCATAAAGAATCGCTCGAAATATTGAGTATTTTCAAAATGCGACCATCCCTGCCCACATCTTCAATTTGCGTTATCCGATTCGACCACAAACCATCGCCGCTAGCATATTAAATGCTTCTTGGTTAGAAATTGGCATTTTAGAAAAAGATTGCAAAATTAAAAAAACTGCACTTTCTGAATGTAAATACAGCAGAATAATTTACAAATTACGGCTGTTATTATTTTATAATGCATTGTGTTTCATTTGTTTAATTTTCCAAGGCCTACCTAAAAGTGTAGGGTGCTCTTCTTTCGCGCCATCGACAAATACCGGAAATACGTAAAAAGTAAATTTAAGATACAATTTAAGCATTTTTATTAATTAATTAATTAATCTCATATTCCCAATATTTCAGGTTCACTGACCTCTTTGGATGTTATTTGGCTACTTTTTCATAAAGAAAAGGTCATATCATTCCATTTGATGTTTTTGATTTTTTAGGATTTTGGATCATAGTGTCAAAACTAGCCACCTGGCGGAGAAGGATTCAACTTAATTAACTATATTTTGGTTGATTCTTGTTGCCCAAGGAATACTCTTTTCAACGATACCAAATTTGTTACAATCGGTCAAACGATTAAGAAGTTAAAGTAGGTTATTGCAAAAAAAGTTGAACGCCCCACGCCATCTTTGTTTTTGAAATAACTGAGTTTCTGTTTTTACGAAAATGATAGATAAACTGTTTAGTTGATTATGCGAAATTTAAAGAAAATGCAATTTTAAAATTTAAGATGGCAGTTACGCCCTCTGGTGGTCATTTTCAGAACTTGAAAATATTTTCCAGCGATTTTTCATAACCGATTTACCCAATAATTTGCGCACAATTTATATTTGTTTTATTAGCTTTCGCCAAAACTGACACGTTAATATTAATAATAAATGAAAATCAGAATCTTAAAAAACAGTCCTATATATCTTTCATTTTATTACACACTGATAATAATTTGTTATCAAATTTACTTTATTTACTCTTAAGCTCATTTTTTTACTTAGCAACTACGTTATTTGAGAAAATCGCAAGGTCACTTTTGTACTTGCGTACCTATGTTTTAAACGCCAGCCACCTTAATGTGCTACTACAATATTTTATGTAACGTTTACTGTTCGGGTAAGATTGATTCTACCCCATGTTTGTGTGCTATTTATGATGCAGCTTCCTGCCTTTTAACATAGTGGAATAAGTAGGTAAGTCACACTTACTGTATGTCAGTATTGTATATGATACAAAATCATAGAGTTGGAAGCATCATGCATAGAATGAATTGTTTCTCCGTTAGAAAGAGCATGGGTAGTGGACGTTTCATAACCCGAGTCGTAGGCCTTTTACTATTGTGGGGCTTAGTCATCTTCGTCATCATACAACTGAAGAAGACACTAAATGAAGTATACGTACCTCACGTAAACAATGGTTTACTACTGCAGAGACGTTTGGATCCGCTTACCCGATCTTCAGACTCGACTACCGAAGCGATCGACGAAGATCCATTAATCGACAAAAGTCCGAGTTTATCCGAAGATATGATTGTTGACGACATTCAAAATCGAATGCCTAACTTCCCCATCGCCTACTGGCACAAGAACAAGAATACACCCATGCGCTTCAATAGTACATGCGCCCGTTTCCCTAGCATATTTGATCTGGAGTTTAACAATATATACTGGCAAACGCTGAGGACTACGAACGGCACCTTTCAGTTACTCGGCGCGTACCTCGACACCAGACCCAATAATCGTCTCGGACCCACCGTACGAATCTTAGGTATGCTCGATCGGATAGAGCCTACCGTGCTGACCTACTGCCAGTTCTGGTTCGACGGCAAAAAGGAACCAGTAATTGTAAAAAGTCTCGAATACAAGTACATTTGGTACAAATCATGGGGCAACTACCAGCAGGGAATATACCAACCCTACCTCATATCGTGTGTAATTCCCGACGAATATCGGGATGCAGTACCCGAATCGATTTCGCTTGTGGAAAAGGCCTGCGATAATTCTATCAATAATCTGAAAGTTATTTACAATAAGCCAAAGGAGAAGAAAGATTTCGCGGTATGCGTTAAGGGGTTAGATTTTCTGCACGAGGACCTGTCTGTCAGGCTCGTCGAGTGGATTGAGCTGCTCAATCTTTTAGGTGCAGACAAGATCTTCCTCTACGAGTTGCAGGTGCATCCGAACATAAGCAAGGTGCTGAAGTACTACGAGAAAGAGGGTAAGGTAACGGTAACACCGATAACCCTGGCGGGCGGGCAACCGAACGGCCCTTCACTTCAGCACCTTTATTTGAAAAAGAAAACCAGTCATAAAAGACAGAGTGAGTTGATCCCATATAACGATTGTTTCTATAAGCACATGTACGAATACAAATACATAGTACTGCTTGACATTGACGAGGTGATCATCCCTCTAAATGGAACTTCGTGGAAGGAGCTGATGGAGCAAGTACTACCCAAGGCCTTAAAGATCAACAAACAGGAGAGGGCTTCCTATAACGTCCGCAACGTATATTTCCTAGACAATTTGCAGCATAACCACGACTGGTTTAAAGAAATTCCTCGGCACATGCACATGCTACAACACGTATACCGGACGAAGAATTTCACAGGACCAGGCGCGTACGTTAAGTGCTTCCATAATACAGAAAGAGTTCTCACTTTACACAACCATTTTCCTCTCGACTGTCTGGCAGGCGGGTGCACTTCCTACCCGATTGAGACGACTGACGCCCAACTTCAACACTATCGCGCCGATTGCGTCAAGGACTTAAGGAGCTGTGAGGATTTTAAGAATGATAGCGTAATGGACTTGACGTTATGGAATTTTAAAAAACCGTTAATTGCGAGAGTGTCGAGCGCCCTTAGGACTTTAGGCTATTTTCCCTTGGGTAGAAAATTGAAAGAGCACAGATGATAAATCAACTGCACTCTATGGGTGCTTTAAAATGGTTGATGTGCGCAAATTGTTTCGGGCGATGAAATGTGTGTTCCTCTAATAAGCCTTCCTGTATCATATTGTTTTTAAGGTACTTATTTTAACTGTTTATTGTGATATCGGTATTAGTCGTTTACAATCCCAATGGAGCGTTGAACTTAATCGGTTGAGCCAAGTGCCTGTTTAGTGTTTACGTATATTATATATGTGTTATATTTGTGATTATCTTTGTTTTACCTTTACGACTGCAAAGATTGTCAAAGATATTTGTTGTGTGTTGTGTGTAAGTAATATTTTAAGCTACAAATTTAGTGATTGTCGTCTACCAGTTCTTTTATTTGAAGTACGACAGAGACAAGGTAAATTCAAGATATGATAAGTTTTGAGAATGAACTCTAACATCAAACATTTACTTACTTTTTGTGTAATTAATTAATTAATCCGAGTTTTCTAACACTTACGTAGGTGGGTACTCACAAACCATGCGCTACACTACTGGCACCACCTATCCGACGGCTCGAACCGCCCGTGACTACATCACCGTCCCTCCATTTTGTGGAACAGATTTCTATTGGTTTTGTTTGCCATTCGGTATTTGGAAAGGGTTGAAATGGGATTACAAAAGCAAAGTTTAAGAAGCTTCAGTTTTGGTTCCACTGACAGCTGCAGTGAAATAGTCTGCGGTTTACAGAACCAAAATTTAAGGCTCAATTCTGACCTTACTGACAGCTGCGGTAAACTTTTTACAACTATCTTTCACCAGCACACATTTTTTCAAAATAATGCAATTTATATTCGTAAAATTTACGGTAGCTGCTCGCATGTTTGAGCAAACTTAATCTCAATTACAAATAATGGTCGTTATCCGGATGCATAATTTCGCAAGGGCTAATATTAATAAACCACAATGCACAATTGTGCAACCTTAAATCTAATTAAGTCGTGCAAGTGCAAGCCGTGGCTGCATTTACGCATTTACCATCCAAAAGCAAATTTTGTGAAATATTAAGGATACGTGCAAATTATTATTTATTCAATTTAATTAATTAATGTTAAATGAAAAGAAATTACCCCCTCGAAGCACAGTTTAATAGGTGGAGTGTAGTATTCAGGTCCGCCTGCTGTGTAAGGCAAAAGTGTGTAAAACTTTTCACAAATCGTGAAAGAATGCACAATGAATAAACCTTTGTCAAATCACTAACACTCTTCCTTCCCACTCCTAAATTTCAGCGCCGTGATTTTTGCTGACTGGACGTTGCTTAGTCGCCTAGTCCGACACACGGCGGTAGGGTTGTTTTACCACCAGCCTCTATACCGGGAAATATATGTATACAGAAGACGATACTACCAAATATCGATACATTAAAGAAAAACATTTAAAATTCGAAATGAAGAAAATACCCTCGAGGCGTCCCGTTACAATCAGCCCCAATTTCTAGAGTTGTTTTCAGACTCCGCTGCCGCAAATAACGCTGCAGTTAATCCGCTCACCGCCGTTTGCAATCGTTCCCGTCCAGATATTTCATGCGTTTTTACAACCGCCGAAAGCTTTCTTGCCAGCGAAGAAGAAAGAGAATTAATATTACTAAACTGAGGTTTACCCATTAATCGATTTTACTTCTCTAATGGTATACGAAAATCTAGCATTAAAACCGGCAAGGTTGTGTAGTTTACGGAAATATCAACGTGATAGGAGACTGCGAATTTAGAGATTTCATTCCGACTATTTGGATAAGTATAATTAACTGTAATTAGTTTAATGAGTTACAACAGATTACTGCCTCCAATTAAGTCGATATTACGTCTGTTATAGTAGGAGAGGTAGTGGCATATTATTGTTGATATTTGAATATAAGATACTTATGCATATGCTGATAACGTATCCGAGCGTCTGTAGCAATTTCGCGGACGGTGCGGCAGTGGTAGGCGATCGAAAGGGGCCTCTGGGGCTGGCGGAGCTGTGTTCTTTGCTGGGCGAAGGTGTCCACCGTGGCCGCTTTTCCATCCCCATTGTTCTGGAGGGAGGCATTTCTCCAGCCACTGCTAAGCTTGGAAATTTTACAAGTCATTTTTTGTCCAAAGGTGACTCGACAGGAACTCATATTATGATCGCATTGTACCGCAGTTCGTCGTATCACCATTTTAATCTAGTGGTGTCACCAGGAGGTCTGTAACGCCTGTACCAAAGCGGCGATCGCCCAGATTGCGTGCGCTCTACCACCGGTAGATGGCGACACATGAATACTAGTGTAGGAGGATAGTCTTTGATGATAGGGAGACAAAATGTAAATCTCAATTTATGCCTGGTGCTTGTTACATACGCGATTGCGATTAAATTGATTTGTTGTTCATTAATTAATTAATATTATAGAATCTTAGAGTGTTAAATAAAGCTAGTTCTATTCTGTCAACCTAAAAATGCTTCACCTGGAGATTTTTCAATTTTATCGTATCATCTTCGACAGTTTTGGTCCGATTGTTCTCAAATTAGTATCGTCGGAAAGCAAAGCTCCTGCGTGAAGGAATTATGTTGTTTTTTTCTAGGGGGCGAAATTACATAACCACGCGTCTTCGAGGGGTAGTCGACTTTGGGGGCGCACAAGTTTCTTAGAGCTCTTTCTCGTGTCGCCAATAGAAGCTTGAGCTCTAAGAAGTACCTAAAATTGATTACTATTTTGTAGCGTGGTTTAGCGAAATCCACCAAAATGTGAATTGCGTGTGAACGGGACGTCGGAACTGGGTACCGACAAAGGGAATGTGGTAGCACCCGACAAGATCGTACTGATGGTGTAGTTAAAATTAAAACCTCGCACGCGAACTGCGTGTGAACGGGAACTCGGAAATGGGTACCGACAAAGAGAATGTGGTAGCTTTCGACACGATCTTATTGATGTTGGAGTCAAAACTGATCTGCCACAAAAAATGCGCTGAAGTACCTTTTTTAGCACCATCAAGAATTGGCGTGAACCGGTTTGCTTACTATCTGTATTATACTTCATACTATGGTTGTATCACAATAACCATTGTATATCTTTGAATATATAAAATTAATATTCAAATCACAATAACACAGATAATCTTTGTATATTAGGTATACTATGGTCAAATCACTCAAATTAAAGAATATTGCGTGTAACAAACACACTCATTATGGGAATGTTTGATCTATCCGCAACTCCGTGTACCTATACGTTAGAGTTGCCACCACCAAATTTTGAAATCCAGGATTTGAAGGTTGAAATACCAAGACATTTTGTGTTCAAACCAGAACACGCCAAGATGGGAAGTAGTGTATCGAAAAACATTCATAATTTGTTTTACCCAAAATCGTACTGAAACCTTCATTTTCATGCCTACTTTCTGTCAGGAAATTCTAGTTTCCATGACAGAGGCAGAGCAGACTACGTTTCCTGTCGCTTGTCACTTTACTGGCCGCATTTGTGACATATCCAAATGTCTATAATGACTGATCCTGGTCATCACTGAGAGATTGACATTAATCAAAAGTTGTATATACCTACAAATTGAAATTTTATATTAAAATACAAGTTCGAGTAAAATTTAATATAAAGACGTCAGTAAAATGATATTACCTGACTCGGAAATTAAAGTACTCGGCCTCACTCACAGGGGCCTCGCACTTCAATACTTCCTCGCCAGTAAGGTATCGTTTTCCGGACTTGTATGTAAATAACTATTAATATTAACATGTTCGAAAACGTATAAAAACAAAATTTGGGCGAAAAAAATTGTTAGTAAGTATGTTAGTAAATATTTAATCAGCTTCAATACCTATATGTCTCAATGCGAGCGTATGGCGTATGTGAAGTTAGCCAGTGGGCGACAACATTAGTTCGAAAGAGTAAACAATCAGAATGCATGTTTTTTTCTTTGTTTTAAAAAGTGCAAACCCAGTGATAAAACCATCATTAATGGCGCGCGAATTTTAAAACACAGGACCTTAACAGGGCGCTTTAAAATCCCCCCAAGACGCTACTTAAAACCCACCCTGTGAAAACAGGACAGTTGGCAAACCTACGGTTCAACCCTAAGATCATACATACATAATTATGATCTAAGGTTCAACTTCACTATTTTAGGTTAACCTGCTGGTGTGGACCTCAGAGTGTGTGGACTACATTTGATACATTTTTTCGAAATTTTTGGAAATGATACTTCATCAGTATAAATAAACTGCCTTTTATAAAGCAAACATAAAATAGATCCATATTTTCTGCAGATTCGAAATTGCGAAAGCTTAACTTTTTTTAGTGCATGTGAGTCATGTCCCAACCCATGTTGGATGGCGCTATTGTGGCCATTTTATATCCGTCCGTGTCCTTATCTACTCCTACAGTGTTGAAGATATTTAGTTCGTTTTTTTTGCATTCGAATGCGTGGAAAATACGGCGAAAACCTTTTTTATTTTTAATGAATACCCCCCCCCCCTAGTCCAGTCAAATTCGACGTAAAAATGCTAAATGGTTACAAAAGGTCCGGTAGAAGATTTTATTTTCCCCGACTTGTTTAAATAGTAATGAGACACAAAAAACCAAGTTTGCCAACGCGACTGACGTCGGGAGAAATTTTTATGGTCAAAAATCTGCAAAAATTTCTGACTTTTTTCAGTTTTTCTAAAACAACTCGCAAACGGCAATACTTGCGGGTAAAATCATGTTTTTTTTTAAATTGTGGTGTATAAAATTACCTTTAATTTTTTATTTTGCGGCCTAGCATGTAAGTTTAGGAGCCAATTTAAAGTTCCGTGTTTTTCTCAATTTTTGGAAATAATACCATTTTTAGCGCATTATTAAAGAATTAAAAGAAATATGAGACAACTAACTTGTCTCAGATTTTTTATGTACATGCCTCTAGTGAAGCCATATTAAAACTTTTGAAAATAGGAGGAGGGAGAGGGGGTAAATACACGTTCTATCCATCATGGTATTCTAATGAAAGGTCTAATCGAAATGAATTGGTCTCTACAAACTTACGCAACTCCGTTTCGACATCACTGAGTGACCCGTTGGGGGGGGGGGGGGGTTATTCTTTATGGTATTCTAATGAATGGAATTAACCCAGTCATAATCTTCCTCATCGACACTTTATCGTGATCGATTATAATTACTTATAGGTATCTGAAGAGCGGATTGTTGGGAAAGCGTACTCACAAAGGCGATTGGGGCGTCTAGAAGAAATATATCCATTGGTGATGGCATAACTTTAAGAGCGAGTATCTCGTAAAAGGTTTTTCGAAGGATAGTACTCATAACACAATCCTCTGAACGAGATACCTATCTATTCGTGAAATCCAACCGTGAAAACGAAGGGTCAGAAGAGGGCACTCATAATATAATATAATGCCGATGTTTTAATCATTACTACTGCTCTTTCGAAAGCAAGTGAATTTAAAACCGTAGTGATAATAGGTGAAGATATTGACCTAGTTTTATTGTCAACAATTAGAGGACACTCTATGAATTAATGAATACCATATTCTTCCGAAAACCTGGAAAGGGAAGTAAAGCAGATGAGTTTTACTCAACGAAGTCCTACAAATATGACGCCGGCGTTATTGTTTTTATTCACGCATTTAGTGGGTGTGACAATAAACCAGACGCCAGCCCTGATGAAATACCTAAAAACACGAAACTTAATTAATGTATCACCTAAAGACCTAAACTATACATGTTAGGGGGGCAAATAAAATATCAAATTAAAGGTACTTTTATACACTACAATTTTGAATAAAACATGATTTCACCTAAATACTTAATGTGATTGGCAACTTATTGTAGAAAAACCGAAAAGTCAGAAATGTTTGCAGATTCTTGACTACATAAATTTCTCCCGACGTCAGTCGCATTGGCAAACTTGGATTTTTCTTTCTCTTTGCCATTTAAACAAGTGGGAAAAATAAAATCTGCTACCGGACCTTTTGTAACCATAAAGTAGATGACTGGACTACCATGCCACTGAATTTTATTTACATCAATTCCATGACAACTAGGATAGTATTAGATACTTCACGGTTCTGTTAAATCAAAGACAAGTAATAATTTAAAAATACTACAATAGCTGTACAAATTTTCCATTTACTCGACCCCTTATACAAACAAGTATAAATTGTGCACAACTCTTGTGCAGATAAAGCGTATTTTTTTTAACCGAAATAAATTTTGTTTTGACATCATCAGCAATGGATATATTTTTTGAAAACATCTCAATCGCCCTTTGTGAGTACCCTCTTTCGACAATCCGTTCTTGAGGTATAAGGGAATACTTATACCTGATCACGATAAGAGGTCGAGGAAGAGGGCTATGGCTCGTAGAAATTAATTCCTTTCGTTGAGACCTTTCATTAGAGTACCATGAAGGATAAAACTAGTTCCCCCCCCCCCCCCCCCGTACTTTGATAAGAGGACAAAAAAAGGGAAGTAGTTGGTAGAAAACGGTTCCTTTCCTTGAGACCTTTAATTAGAATACAATGTGAGATAAAATTCATTTTTAACCCCCCCCAGGTCCCGTCGCTCACTGAACTCGAAAAAGAGTCGCACGAGAAAGTTATAGTTTGTACAAACCAATTTATTTCGATGAGACCTTTCATTAGAATACCATGAATGATGAAGTAGACCATGTGTTTACTCATGAATGATGAAGTAGACCATGTGTTTACTCCCCCCCCCCCCCCCAATGTGGTATATCCACAGATTTAAATATCTGTGGTATATCTTACATTTGACTTTTGTTGAATTTTCATTAAAATATGTCATTTTAATTGTGTTTTAATGCACCCAATTTATTTTAAATGTTTAATCATGTTCTACGCTCCCTAAAACATAGGAATGGACACCTGGATCGCATACAGCAGACCAAAATCAGAAAAACTCTTTACTTTTCGCTATTTTAGACGTCATTTCGAATAACTCACTTCCGGTTGGAATTTAGAGTTCGCAAACGGAATTTTCGGATTCATCGGGGCCGAATTAAGGGGGGAACGGTTCTCAAATCTCAATAAAATTGTTAGTTGTTACATGAAATGCTTCTTGCATTGAAGCTTTTCTCAGATTTTAGCCCCCACTATTAGTACGTTCTTTATTTCTGTGAATACAGAGACGCAAGACAAAAAAAACTAAAAAGGCAAATTCTTGTAATTTACATAAAAAAGTAGGTAACGATGCATTGACCAACAAATTTTCATTGGCAATAAACTTTAGACTATTTCTTTGGTATATTCTGCTACTTGAGTTTGGAGTAAAATTGAAGGTAGGTATAATCCCCCGAAAGAAGAATTTGCACATGACAATTTTTCCACGTCCAAAGTACACTAACCTGTTATTTACGGACGACGGAAGGTCAAGGTTACGTCAAAGATGAGTAATAATATACCTACCATTATCATTCAATTACAGTCTTATTGGCAATTTACCAATTACGCTATTGTATTTTGGAGAGGGGCGGAAGTTAATTAACAAGCATGTCAGTGATGCGAGAGGGATAACTGTACATGTTTAGTTTGTCGAAGAAGTCTCTTGATTGAGGTGTAATCCTCCGTTTGGGCGTTTACCTGAGTCCCAACAACAGTTACCTATGCACTTTTTGAAGGATTTTTTCGACACGTGCTTGTGAATCGACAGGTAAGCAGTTCTAACTGTACCATTGAGTAGGTACTTAAATGATGCTAATTCAACGAGTTTATGAAGCGCGCCGGTACTACATGACACAAATTTGGATATGGGCCCGCAGTTTGAATTCTTTAGGTAGATATACAGTTCAATGAAATTCAGTCACAAGGACCCGTTATGGGATTTTCCTTGATAAAAACGTCGAGTGCCTGGTACCATTAACAGTTTGAATAGAAATTCGTGCGAGTGCATTCGTAATTTTTGTGAAAAATCCACGACCTCTCCTGGACATTTCTGAATACATTGTTAATATAATATTTACATTGCAAATGCTGATGCTATCAATGTTGTTTTAGATACGATGGGAGTCCAAGAGAATTAATGTACTTCACGGCTGATAAATTATGACCTTTGGTCATACATGGAGAGGAGGTTATCACGAAATTCTAATGAAAGTTACTACGGCGGTTACCACGGTGTAGGAAACAAGTGATTCCGTTCGAATCTTCGGTTTGTTTTTCTGGGGGCGCAAAAATGAAGAATTTCGCCATTTGGTACCTTTCGTTTTCGCGTTCGTGGTGGATACTTTACGGTTTTGCGTTAGTGACGTCGGCGAAAGAATCGCTGGGATTTGCGGAAAATCAAATTTTTCGATCGGGAAATAGTTGGACGTATGACTTTCGAACGTCCGTGCTGCTTAGCGAACTGCAAGGAAGTGCCAAAGACGTGGGGTTTTTAATTGAAGGTACTGTGATTATAAAATCGGTGTGGGAAGGTGCCAATTTGGAGAGACTATTGCAAGTTGAGGTAAGGTCCCAATAATACTAAGGTTTTCATTTCAAAACGAATCACTGACTCTTAACTGCTAATTTTGATCAAATATTACAAGAAGAAGGTTAACTGAACGTTTACCTGAGGATGTGCTGCTATATACACCCCAGCTACCGGCTACCCTGTATTATTTAGTATCGCTGTCTCTAGGTAAAATAATAAACAGGACACACAAGTATAACATTTCATTGGAACACAACATTGTTGTTGGTCGTAGTCGCGACCAGTCGTCGTTTTGATTATTGGTTGGTTCAGGTGGCACTGTTTATAATTTAATCCCCCAAACTAATATTCACCATGTCAAAGTAAGGGAAGATTTATTCTCTACAACATGTCAAATTCAAAATACAACTTGTACTACTAAAAAACACGTACTAAATTTGGTGCCCTTAAAACCAGTCACCAATATTCAAAAAAAAGCTCAATATTTGACGTTAAATATTTCAGCTGACAAAATTAATCAAAAATGCAATTATTTAACAGTCAAGGCTAAAATGATGATCTGCAACATTCCAACCCCCGTAAATCAATTACTGGGTTGATTTACTAATGACATCCAGAACTGCAAGCTTAGATGCAGGTCTCTGAAGAAGTCGATCATTTGTTCGTATTTCTGCTCTCCGTACTTGACCGTCTTTACCAGGAAAAACTTTCTCTACTATTCCCCGTATCCATTGTTTTCGATGAAAATCGTCTTCACAAATGATTACTAGATCTCCTACTTTGATCGGCTCCTTCTTTTCAAACCACTTTGTTCTCCTGGTTAGTATAGGTAAATATTCTCTTATCCACCTACGCCAAAAATGATTTTTTAAAGCATTTGCCACTCTCCATTGCTTTCGAAACGTCCATAATTTTTCGTCTGGCGTATAAGGTGATTGTATAACATTTGTATCTCCAATTAAGAAAGAATTTGGTGTTAATGGATGTTCTTCTAATGCTGACACAGGTACATGAGTCAATGGTCTAAAGTTCACCATGTTTGCTGCTTCAAGCAAGTAACTGCGTAATGTTTCAACCCTCGGAGCTACTTCCTTTAACGAATGTTTGAGAACTCTTTTAATAGATCGCACTAGTCGCTCCCAACATCCACCCGCTGATGGATTGGAAGGACAATTAAACAGCCATTCGATTCCTTTCATTGTGGATTCCGATATTATGGCATCTTTATTATACAAATTTTCAACTGTCATCAACTCACCCTTCACTCCGAGGAAATTAGATCCGTTGTCTGATCGGATTCTAACTGGAACTCCTCTCAAATTCATAAAGTTTCGGAGGCATATGATACAAGAATCTGTCGATAAGTCTTGTGCAATTTCGAGATGTACTGCACGAATCGTCAAGCAAGTAAATAATGCCACCCACCTCTTTTCACGTCTTCTTCCAATTGTAACATGAACAGGTCCAAAATAATCTAGTCCGGTGTACGTAAACGGTCAAATGTTTGGAGTTAGGCGATCTAGTGGTAACTGTCCCATTTGTGGCACCTCTGGCTGAGCTGCTTCATTTTTACATTGCTGACATTGGCGTTTAGATGACCTTACTAAAACACGTAAATCGTTAATCCAAAATTTTCTCCGAATTTCACAAATGATCAATTCTTCGTTTTGGTGGTGACATAAACGATGATAATGACTGATGACAAGTTTTGTGACTGGATGTTGTTTTGGTAAAATTATAGGTCGCTTGGTCCTCATTGGTAGTGTAGGAGCGTTGTCAATTCGTCCATTTAATCTAATAATCCCATCTTCATCCAAGGCTGGTGTCAACTTATATATATCGCTTGATTTGCTGATAGGAACACAATTAGTCAGTGAATCGTATTCTTCGTGAAAAGTTTCCATCTGTACAGTTCTGAATATCAAAATTTCAGCCTGTCTTACTTCCTCAACTTTTAGTTCACCTGTATGCAAATTCATGTTGGAAGCTTTAGCTTTTAAATTCTTTACAAAACGTATCATCCAAGCAGCTGTACGTAAAATTGTGAAATAACTCGAGCTATTTGCAAAGTTAAATTGAATCATATTTTCACGAATCATCATAACTACATGTTTTGGTGGTTGTAGTTCTAGGTCTTCATCATTTACTACATGACAATCTGTTTGATGAGGCCATTTACTTTTGTCTTGCTTCAACCATTCTGGTCCGTTTATCCACCTTCTATTAGGTTTGAAGTGAGGTGGATAAATGTCACGTGTCGCATCATCAGCAGCATTTTCATGTGTTGAAACCCAGTTCCATTGAGTGGGTTCTGTTGAATCCAAAATTTCACCCACTCTATTAGCAACGAATGTCTTGTATTTTCTTCTGTCATCCTTGATCCAATGAAGTACCGTTTTAGAATCGCTCCAAAATGTCGATTTTGAAATAACAAAACTGTGAGATCTCAAAACAGTTTTATACATTCTAACTCCAAGAATTGCTGCCTGCAATTCGAGCCTTGGGATGGAAAGGTATTTGACAGGTGCGCATTTAGTTTTCCCCATGACGAATTGATACTGTAACTTCATCTTGCGAACTAACTCGAAGGTAGCACACTGCTGAAAAAGCGACTTCACTCGCATCTACAAATATGTGAAGTTCAACAGCTTTTGGCATCCGCAGTCCCTTTGAGTAACAACGTGTAATACGAAATTGACTAACCTTTGTTAATTCTCGACTCCATGCACACCATCGCTCGTAAAGATGTGTAGGTATTGGTTGATCCCATTCTACACCAGACCTCCATACAAGTTGCAAGAGTACCTTCATGTATACAAGAAAATCCGCTAAGAATCCGAACGGATCATATACTGACATGACAATCGCTAAAAATTCTCTCTTTGTTGGAATTCTTTCACAAGTGATTACTGTCGATTCTAAACGATTAAACTTCAAGTTGAATTTGAACTCGTCAGTGGATGTGTCCCATACCATGCCCAGTATCTTATCACATGTAGGGGATTTGTCCAAGTTCATATCCACTTGATATAGTTGATCACCTTGTTCCTGATTCAAGATCGAAGTAACCTTTCTTGAATTTGATATAAAACCTCGTAATTCAAAACCACCAGCCATCTCAATATTTTTAACCATCATGGATACAGTTATTGCCTGTTCATCGGTGTGAAAGCTATTAACGTAATCGTCAACGTAATGTCGTTCAATAATTGCTTTGGCCGCTTCGTGATGACTTTCTAGATACTGTGTTGCATGAAAGTTTTTGACATATTGAGCTGTTGTCGGTGAAGATGTGGATCCAAATATCATAACTAACATCTTATATACCTCAATTTCGCCAGTTTTATCATTTCTCCATAAAAATCGTTGAGAGTTTTGGTCTTCTTCACGAATTATCACCTGGTGAAACATCTCCTTGATGTCAGCACATACCCCAACTTGACCTTCACGAAATTTAGATAAAACCGTGAGGAGTGGCTGATTTAGATCTGGACCTGTCAACAATGATGAATTAAGGGATGTTTCTCCAACTTTAGCCGCGGCATCAATACAAGTCTGAATTTTCCAGGCTTATTTGGATTCAGTACACCGAAATGTGGTAAATACCAAGTCCGTGGAGTAATTTCAACAACCTCTTCAGATGACAATTTACGAACATATCCTTTCTGCACGTAGCTGACAATAGTTTCCTTGTACTTCATACCGTAAACAGGTTCTTTTTTCATCTTGTTTTCAACATTTCTCAATCGACTGACTGCCATTGGGTAACTATCTGGTAAAACTATGTCATCGTTTTTCCATAATAGACCACTTTCGTAACGACCTTTGACCTTTTTTGTTGTTGATTCCAATAGTTGACGCGCTCGAACCGTTTCAGAAGACTCTCTTGGTGTTGTTGATAGTTCAACACCAAAGTTTTCAGTGGTAAAATACTCTTTCACAATAGCATGTATGTCGTCAAAATACCCTCTCACATGAAACATTCTTCCTGGACTTGATTGTATCTCATTGTCAACTGTTCTTCCATAAATTATCCAACCAAGAGGACTTTCTGCAACAATAGGTCCATTTGATGTTTGTTGAATCTTTCTGTTCGATAATCCCAAATGACAAAAGTCCAATCCTATTAATAGCTCTGGTCGGGCGTCAGTATAGCTGGCAATAGGAAGATTTTGTAAGTTGTCATATTTGGAATGAAGCTGATTCATGTCTACAGTTTGCATTGGAAGACAAAGATTGTTTACGGTACACACATTCCTCATCTCAAACACTTCGGCATTGTTATGGATTCCAGATATAATAAATTTAACGATTTCAGTTTCTTCAGAACTACAGTGGTCTCCGAACCATTGGAGATTCAACTTTCGCATAGGTCCCTTCAACTTCAAACGTACAGCTACGGTTCTCTTGATAAGGCTTACGCTTGATCCCTCATCAATCAATGCATACGTGGAAACAACTTCTCCTCTATTGTATAATTTTACTGGAACTACTTTAAACAACACCTTGGATTGATTTGCTTTCAACGCAGCATGACAGGATACTTCCATATTTAAAACCGTTGGCGTATATTTATTATCTTGACATTCACTGTGTAATTGAGGATGATGAACTCTGTTACATCCATTCTTATTGCAAGACTTTCTAATGCGGCACATTCTAGTAGAATGTCCAAATTTCAAACAAGAAAAACACAATTTCTTTTCTGTTACTAACTTCCATTTATCATCTGTAGATTTATTCAAAAAATCCGGGCAGTTAGCGATGAAATGGTTCTTTTCGCATAAGACACAGTTCATTTCTTTCTTACTTGTAACGTTGGAAGTGTGAAGCATTTGATATTTCTTGGGTGTCGTCTTTTTCTCTGTCGGAGAAATCAAAGAATTGCACACAGGAACTCTGGCTATGTTGTCGGCTTTAACTTCAATCCAGTTACTAAAATCTAATATAGACGGGACACCAGTCAGTGAGCTAATATGAGAGGCCCATGCAATTCTCATATTCATTGGGAGCTTTAGGATCAACTCATTAAG